TAAATCTTTCACAACTGATCATCATTACAACATTGCTGTTACTATGCACAATGATCTTCCTTCTGAGAACACAGAAATGCATCTGGCTTGGGATGTAGAAGTTCTGTTGGGGCACAAGGAAGAACCTGACAAGCATTGTTGAGGGCAGGGGGAGGGCCAGGGAGGAGGCTGTCCATTCTTTTCTCCTCCTTGTGCCCAGTCAGATTGCCCCTTCAGCATCTCTTACCACCACATGTAGCCTCTCAATGAGAAGAGGTGATCAAAGGCCAAGGTAGCATCAGCACCTAGGAAAATCCTTCAGGTTTTACCAGAAAACACTCAGGTTAGGAGAAATTGTTTTTTTCTGTGCACATATCTGCGAGACAAGTGCTGGGAAAGTGAGAATTCTTGTGATCAGAGAAGCTGAACAAATGCTGAAAGTCTGAAGTTTTCAGAAGTTAATGTTTATCTTGCAAACATCCTGGGGAAGAAGCTGGTGTCACTGTTGTTGTTGCCATTTGGGCAACAACATTCCCACTTCACTTTGCATCAGTTCAATACAGGTTGCACCATGTTGCTATAAAACCACACCCTTCTCATTTTTTCTGGATAGGTTATTCTTGGTTGAAATCCTAGCTCTTTTGCCTTTCAGAATGTCATATTCAGAAAGTCCTCTGATCCTTTAATGTAGAAGGCACTAAATCTTGTGTGATCCTAACAATGGCGCCATGATATCTGAATTGTTTCTTTCTGAATACTTGAAGTATTTTCTCTTTGACCTGGGATCTCTAGAACCTGGCTATAATGTTCCTGGACCTTTCATTTCATCAACACCTGTTTCAGGAGGCGATTGGTGGATTCTTTCCATTTCTATTTTACCCATTGGATCTAAGATGTAAGGGCAGTTTTTCTTGATGTTTTCTTGAATGTGTCTAGGTTCTTTGATCAGCTAGTCCAATAATTCTTAAATTTTCTCTCTTTGATATATTTTCCAGGTCAGTTATTTTTCCAAAAAGATAGTTCCCATTTTTTTCCTATTTTTATTTCTTTTGATTTTGTTTTATTATTTCTTGATGTCTCATGGAGTCATTTGCTTCTGCTTGCCCAATTCTAATTTTTAAGGAATTATTTTCTTCAGTGAGATTCTGTACTTCTTTTTCCATTTGGCCAATTCTGCTTTTTAAGGAGTTCTTTACTTCAGTGATTTTTAATCTCCTTTTCTCTTTGGCCTAGTCTGCTTTTTAAGGAGGTTTTTTTTTTTCCTTCAGGGAATTTTTGTGCCTCTTTTACCAGTGGTCCAATTCTATTTTTTAAAGATGTTATTTTCTTCAGTATTTTTTGTGCCTTTTTTTTTTTTTAAAGAAAAACCATGCTGTTATTTCTCTTTTCATCATTATCTTGCACCATTTTCATTCTTTTCTAATTTTTTCTCTTCCACTTTTATTTCTTTCTTTAACTCTTCCAAGAATTCTTGTTGGGATTGGGTCCAATTAGCATTTTCCTTTGAGTTTGTTTTTTTTTCTAGTAGCTGTTTTCACATTGTTTTCTGAGTTTATGTCTTGGTCTTCCCTGTCATCACAACAGCTTTTTATAGTCAAATTCTTTTTTTTTTGTTGTTGCTTGATCATTTTTTCAGTCTATTTCTTGACTTTGAACTTAATGTTAAAGTTGAGCTCCGCTCACATGGTGGTGAGGAGGCCTTGTCCCAACTTTTGAGTCATTTTTGTGCTGCTGTTTTCAGAGCTAGTTCTGGGGCTCTGCAAGTTTTTCGTTCTTCCAAAATAGTGTGATGCTGAGAGACATATGGTCACTGGTCTCCTGATATGCATCTGGTCTTTACTAAGGAAAGGCCCCTGGTCTCCTGAAGCTGCACATTCTAGCACTGCTCTCTACTTTGTACTGTGACTAGACTCCTTGTGACTCACCACTAGCACTCCTCTGTGCCCTAGAACAGTGACCCAGAACTGAATATGGGCAATAGAGTCATAAATCAGTGACATATATACCCAGTGCCAGCAAAGGTTCCCTGTAATTTCTTTCTGAGCACTGGTCTGCCCCTCTCCCAGGTTCCCTCTGCCAGTTGAGTGCTCCTGAAGCTGCTGCTGCTATGACTGCTGTTGTCATAACCACATGTGTTAGCTCCAGATAGACTTCCACCATGGTGTAATAGACGTCTCCTGCTAACCTTTTAAGTTTGGCTTGAAAATAATCTTACCCTGACTTTTTGTTGACTCTGCTATTCCAAAATTTGATTTGAGGCGTTATTTTAAAGTTATTTGGAGAAGAATATTGAGAGTTCAACTGGGTGGCTGTCCCTAATCTGTCATCTTGGCTACATCCTTGGGATGTATTTTTTTATGCATTGATTTTAATATATTATGATGGCAACTGATCATCCTTATAAATTACAAATGGTGATGTAGATGACAGAGCACTCGACTTAGGGTCAGGAAAACCTGAATTCAAATCCCGCCTCAGATACTTACTAGCTGTGTGACTCTGGGCAAGTCACTTAACCCGTTTGCCTCAGTGTCTTCAGCTATAAAACAGGGATAATAATAGCACTTACCTAACAGGGTTGTTCTGAGGATCAAATGAAATAATATTTATAAAATACTTAGCACAATGCCTAGTACATAGTAGGTGCTATATATAAAAATGCTTATTCTCCTCCCATTCACTTATTTCTTTTGTCTTTTAGTTAAGAAAATGGTTGTGTATAAGATCTTGAAGAGCCATAATTGTTATTGACTGGTTATATAAATTTCATACCCTGCATGTTACATTATGAGTAGCTGGTTATGTGGGTAGAAAACACATTGCATGGGGGCTAAAGAGCTAGAGAGGCAAATAGGAAAAGTCTATTCCCTCTCAACCAGGTTGTCCCTACTATCCTGAGAAAGCTTCAGTGTAACTGCTTCATGATGGTCTATCTCTGGCAATTCACACCTGTCAAGGTGAGGGCAGGTTGGAGTGATTGAGTCAAATAAAGCATGAATGGGAGTTACCATACTCCATGAAAGAGATTGGTGTTACAGTGGTGGGTAGCTATTTCATGTCATGTCACCACACCATAACCTTGTTCTGTTTGGGTGGATGATGCATGGGTTGTTTATACCTACTGTACTCACTGATATTCATATGCTTGTTTTACAGTGTTTAACATTTTATAGATAATTCACCCTATCCCAATGATATTTGAAGTTTCTGCCAACTTATTCAAACTGGGGTGTGTATGTGTGCAGAAATTTGGAGGGGATGACATGTAAAGTGATCTTTTCTTTCCAAAAATCTTCTTATAATACTTTGTCTAGATCTTTTCATTGTCGTTATATCTTACCTGGTATCATGCTTATTTGTGATATGTTATACCCCCGAGTTAGACAGTAGGCTCTTTGAGGACTAAAACTGCATAACTTTTAATCTTTGTCTTCACAGAATATCAGGAGGCAGCTAGGTGGCTTAATAGAGAGAATGCTGGACCTGGAGACAAGAAGACCTGAGTTCAACTGTTGCCTCAGACACTTAGTAGCTGTGTGACCCTGGGCAAATCACTTTACATCTGTTTGCCTTAATCCACTGGAGAAGGAAGTGGCAATCCATTTCAATATCTTTGCCAAGAACGCCCCATCGATAGTATAGTCCAGTCATGAAATGACTGGGCTACTGAATGACTGAACAATAACAAATGCACTGAATATACGCTAACTGAACTGAATTTGTTGACTTAAATGGAAAAAAAAAATATGGCACTGCAAAGTCATTTGTCCAAAACCACAATGGGGGATTGAGGAAGAGAACCCTGGTCTTCATTATTAAATCAGTATTACGAATCTGACCTATACTAGTTGTACTTATAGTGAAAGTTTACAAAAGATATGTTGGCACCTTTTTTCTCAGCAATTATTTCTCCATTATGGTCACCTAGGTATAGAAAAAAATGCATGAAGAAGAGTGAATTGTTTTCCATTCTTTTCTGCGGTTTCTAAAACCCAAAGCAAACAAATCTGAGAAAATCTGAAGTTACGTCCTTTCAGGAGGATGATGATGGTGATTTGTGGGTGGGTGGATGAGGGAGAGTAGTGGGGAATCTACTTTCCTTCTGATTAAAAATAGATTTGGTAGGACTCATAAATGCAAGTCATCTTCATTACTATGTTATGAGAGGAAATAAATTATTTAATTCTAAGCAAAACTGATGTCATGTGAGGATTCTTAAATTTTGCCTCTTTGCTTTATGCCCTTTTTTATAACTTAGAGCAAAGTGCTAGTGCTCTCCTGCATAATCATCTTGAGTGAATATGTAGCATTTGAGACGTAAATCACTAGAACTATTTCTGCTTGATATAATGGATAGAGAAGAGCATTGCTGGTCTGGAACAAGTTCTATATCTTTCTGACTGAAGATCAGATCTGGTTAGGATTGGTTTAATATCTATTAAAGAATCAGGCAGCAGGAGTAACATATTAGTTTAGAGCTCTGGGGAAATGCTCCTAATTACCATTTGAAAAAAAAAGGAACAAAGATAGACAAGTAAAGAACTGATTTTGTACACTCTGAATTTCTGTGTCCTCTGAGAAACTTTTCTCTCCAGAAGTTCAAATGATTTTTCTTTTATAAGATACAGAGTATACAAGTCTTTTGGTATTTTAAAAAATGTAGTTGGCTTAGAAAATTTCTTACATGCTCACACAATTCTCACTGATTTATCCAAGGAGCCTTATTCCTGGCTAGCCATACTCATTGTCGTCTTATTCCACATGACAAGCATCTATCTGGACAAAGACAATGCCAACAGGTTCATCTGAAATTACGTGAAGCTACTGCTATTTTCTCACAACCAGATTATCAGTTTCAAGAACTGAAAGAGATAATGTATGCAAATCAATTTGTAGAATATCAAGCACTACACAAACATGCACTATTATTATTATTTTCTTCTTCTTTAAGAGCAATAATAGGTAATACTAACTTTGCAAATTCATGGTTTTATTAAATATTTCTCATTCTTCCTGCCAAATACAAAGAAAATCTAGTTAAAATTAATAAAAGATTACCTATCACATTCCATGGTCTAGTGTATTTTAAGCCCAGTCCATGAAGATGCATGCTAATTTACATGAGAAAGATAACAAATACAGCAGAGATTTTTTTCCCTTTATACATATATATATATCTTTTTTTAACCAAGTCATTGTTATCTATTGCCATTTTTAATAATAACAGTAGTGACAATACACAACCCTGTAAAGGCACATTAAAAATAAGATAATCCTCAATCATGTTCTTAAGACCTCATACCACATTTCTGTGCAAGTGTGTGACTAAAACATCATTCCTTCATGAATGTGACCTCAGTGATAGAACTCTTTATAAGGCATCTTTTGCACAACTGCCTCTTGGTGCATATACTTAATTCCCTTTAATGTTATCAAAGGTTATGTGTAAGCACTGAGAAAAGACTGTATTCTTATGTCTACACAGTAATCATAGCTTCTTCTTAAATCTGCACTTTTTTCATTGATTCAGAAACATATTCAATATTAAAATATGCAGGTATTTGAAATCTTGACCTAACATAGTGGATTTAGATTTGTACAATATTTGCCTTGCTAAGTTTTGATTCTAAAGCAGGCAGTATGGGAAGACGTGTCCAGCTCAGCTGCACCATGTTTCTGTGTTGGTTCCTCAGTATAGAAACACCTTAAAAGAAATTGGGACAAAAGAAGTAGTTCCAAAGTATGCTCTAAACCTTTAGCCACCCATTGGTAAAAGTCTGTGGTTAATACATTTGGATAAATAACCCAAACTCAGCAGCAAAGTGGTTAAACATTTGTGATTTGATTTTATCTCAGCTTGGTATGTCGTTGAAGTGTCCCACTTCTAACAACTATTTGTTAAGTGAAGGCTTTAGTGTTTACACAGCGTTGAATGAAGCAGCCTGGTCACCAGATGTGATTGCTTCCCCAGACTGAAGCTTTCAATCAGATCACCGTCCTAATGGTCCCTGCTCCAACCTTCTTCCTCAGGACATCCACCAACCTTTCCAACCTGGAATGGGGGGAGGGGAATGAGGGGAGAAAAAGGGAATTAGTGTTAGGAATGTACTGGCTGAAAGGGCCAGTGTTTGCACTGGGCCAGGCTGTCCTGGTGGTCACATCAAGAAACAAAGCATTATTGTAAGAGAAACACACGGGTACAGAATGCCAACAACTTGAGAAAAACTTTAACTGATAGCCTAGATGAAAGCAGAAGTAGTTAAATTCTGACTCTATCTCATGAAATATCAAAGATTTCCAAGGCAGCTTAGAGATAAATTATAACATAAGTGGCTATGCAGGAATACAATTTGCAAATGACTCATTTTTAACAATAATATATTAAATGTTGACTGCTCCCTCACTAGAGTTTTGGCTATACTGTAGCATATATACTGTATACTTTTAAGACAAGTGTTCATTTTAGCACCCATGGAAACATTGGAAATCTTACACCTGTCACTTAGCTCCCAAGATCCTTTGTGCTTAGAATATTACCCAGCAGTTCAATTGCTATAATATATTTAACTTTTCTTCATTTATAGATAGTGATGGCAATGGATCATTTAATAATCAGAATGAGTGTATTGGTGTGACTGGGAGTGCAAAGAATCCAGTTCCATAATCTTTAGTCCTGTCAATGTGCAGATTGTATAAAATGATTTTCAAGTAATACAGTTATAATTCCCAGAGTAAATAAAACATTTTTATTCCAAACTGCTGCCAAACAGCTAGGAATCATACACATGCTCCTACACTTTATAGTCAACAAAAACAAAAGATGTAGTCAGTTTATGACATCACTCTTTAGCAGTTATTTAGGTAACTCATTGGGAAAGCAATCATGCTCTTGTGTACTCAATGGGAGTTTTGCTTGACAAAAAGACTACAGAATTAGGCTATTAATTAGATTTCTTCTTTGGGAGAGAGTGGTTCTTTGCTAAAAGCATAACACCTAGACCCAAAATCCCTTTTGATGTTACACAGAGAAATCTTTCTTTAAAAGTGCAAAATCTGCCCAGAAGTTTTCATTTACCCTCATTTCTCCCCCATCAAGGACTTTCTTTGCAACACATTCCAGTTTGCTCCATGGTTTGTCTCCTTTTTACTGGATCCATGCATGGAGGCTCTTTCACAAATAAACACATAGCACAAAGCTAGACACTGAAGGAATGAAGGTATTCTCTGTGCCATGTATGTTGGATTAGATCGTGTGGATTTTTTTGGGGAGAGTGAATCTAGTCAATTGCTTATAACCCTGAAAATTAACTCAAAGTTAATCAAGCAATTTATTTTACAGGCTTTGTTATGCCAAATAAAATGACTAAACTCTAAGCAGCAAAAGTCTTTGCTTTGAAGAACATAATGATAATCTCAAAGAAAAGCACAGTGCTATTTTTTGATATGCATGATAAGTATCATACAAGTAACCTTAAAATTATCAAAGTAGCCTTCAACAAATGGCAAACATAGCAGCAGCAGCCAGGAGATTCATTGGAAAATTCATTATATTCACAGATTAGGAAGCATTAGTTAGATTTCCCATAGAGATAAATCCAATGCTTTGCCTTTATATATCAGAAGGTATACACTTTGGATATTAGCACCCACATTACTGTAAACATCTTACAATAGAAACCAAAGCCTCACTAATTAGAGCTGATTGAGAGACAAGGTGGGGAGCAATATGAATGAGTGAGGTCTGAATACTTTAATATTCTGTTCTGTTATTTTTACTATTTCTCAAAGAAATTGCTAATAAAATGTTTTCAAATAGAGATCCTACTAGGTCTGCTTTATTAGTTATATGACACATAATAGCACTCCATACAACATATTAAAGTGCCTAAAAACAGTTTGTTCTTTTAAATAGGTTAAATATATTCTGCCATGACATTATGTACATGATTAACATGCCTCAACAAATCCTTCTATCATTGAGTAAAAGTACTGGTCAATTATTACAAATTCAGAATCAGTAGAGTCTTAATTAATTAAGGAAGTTTGACTAGATTATGCCTCCTCTGTCACATCTTTCAGATTGAGCCATATTGTCTTGGGCTCCTTCTTAATGATTATAACACCTTTCTCTTTAGAATAATCTTGCTGAGATGAGGGGTTCGTAAAAGGTACTTGTGTATCATGTTTTGCAGCGTCTGGTATTTCAACAACTACCAGAACAACAACATTCTCAATTTATCCTGGTTGAATGATTTGTGAAAATCTGATCTCAGAAATGAGAAAAATGTCAGTTACTTAGCTTCATAAAACCCCAGTGACTCTTGAAACACAATTAAGCTACTATCCCTGTAAGGGATGGAAGAGACCCAGGCAAACATGGGATGCACCAACAGGAAGCTAAGTAGCTGTGACTCATACATCTACTGTCTATCCAAGTAGCTTACATGATCAGCCTTCTAGGCCATTTTGATTAAACAAATCAACAATACTTTTTAAAAAATGATACAGCTCCCGGGGCAGCTAGGTGGCACAGTGGATAGAGCACTGGCCCTGGAGTCAGGAGGACCTGAGTTCAAATCCAGCCTCAAACACTTACTAGCTATGTGACCGTGGGCAAATCATTTAACCCCAATTACCTAAAAGAAAAAAATTATATAGCTCCTTCCAAAAGGCTCTAAGTTTTTTATAAATTATCTTACTATGATCTCCACAATTACTTCAATGAGAGAGAAAGTAATAACCCCTATTTTAAAGGTAGGAAAATAGGCACAGAAAATTAACTTATATTGCCACTGTCATCTTATCAATATGGATACTTCCTCCAGTGGGGCAAACAATAACTTATCCATGCCTTCTTATCATGATCAACTCTTATTCGTGTCGTTCCTTACATCCTCTACCCAACATACTGTGGGCCTTTCTTGAGATTTTTTTGACTTTACGTAGATACTAGCAGAGGAGGCATACTATCCTTTTTATTATGTCTCACTGTGATTTACATGACCAGTCCGTGTCCTTTTCTAGTTATACATTGATCTAACGGTCAATACCGTCTTTTGTTTACTCATTTTCACAGCCTTATTTCCTGAAGTGTGATTCTGTCTTAGGGCCAGACTCTGTGTACTCCTGGAGGGAATGGTTGACCTTATTTGGTTCTGATATGTATTATCTGGAGTCTTGTCACTGCTTCCTTCAGGTATTGAAAACTATGTTCTTCAAGGATTTCAGGAGCAGCTAAGGCCAGGTTGCTGCAAACTTTCAGTGCCCTAAACACTGCCCTTCTACTCAGAGCTTTACAGTTCCTAACTCCAATTTGGGGTCTGGATAACACAGCTGCAGGGTGGCACTTAGTCAAAGCTTTAGTAGATAGCTGCTAGCTCCAGTTCCTGGGTTAGAAAGCTCTGCAGAGACAGAACTGCAGGTTTATCTCTGGTCTAAACTATGAATAGTTCTTTCTGGTGGGATGCCCTCCCCGGTACCTGCAGGCTTCTAACTGTCTCCCTGTGCTGTCTATGCCTGGAAAAAGGCACTCACTCCAGTTTATCTGTGGATTTCTTGATTAATACTTGGCCTAGTGTTTTTTCCTCAAGCTTCGCCGGAATAGTTAGCTGTAATGATCTGCGCTGCTCCTCCTACTCCATAATCTTTACCTTTAATGTTGTTCTTCTAGCACAGTCTTAAAGAGGAAGCCAAATACATTGGGACATGAAAATAATGAGATTTATAGATCATTACTCAAATTTAAGGATAAGTTTAAGGTAAAGTAACTTAAAACCAACAGCCATACTTTTCACAGAATCAGACTAGAACAGGAAGGAACTTGAGATCAAGTCGTTAATAAAATGCAGATAAACCATTCCTTGTCCATTCATTCTAACCCTTCTTTGCTCTTACACTGCCACCACCCTAGTTGCAGGCCTTCATCACTTCATGACTGGACAGTCTGCCTCAGGTCTATTCCCACTCCAGTCCATATTCTGCTCAGCCACCAAAGTGAAGATCTGACTATGTCAACCGCTACTCAATAAACTCCAGTAGCTTCTTATCACCTCCAGGATCTAATACAAAATCCTCTATTTGGTGTTCAAAGCCCTCCGTAACAACCTCACCTCTCCTAGTTTTCCAGGCTTCTAATACCTTACATACACTACCAATGGGCTCTTGGATGCAGTGACACTGGCCTCTTTTGTTTCATGAACAAGACACTCCATCTCAGCTTCCAGGCATTTTCTCTGTCTCCTATGCCTGGAATGCTTTCCTGTCTCTTCTCTACCGCCTTGCTTCCCTGGCTTCAAGGCCCAACTAAAATCCCACCTTCTTCAGGAAGCCTTTCCTAATCCCCCTTAATTCTAATGCCTTTCCTCTGTAAATTATTTCCTATTTATCCTGTATATATCTTGTTTATACTTAGTTGTTTGTTTGTCATGTTTCCCATTAGATTGTGAGCTCCTGAAGGACAGAGACTGTCTTTTGCTTTTCTTTGTATTCCCAGTGCTTAGCACAGTGACTAGTATATAGAGGGCACTTAATAAATGCTTATTGATTGACTTTCTCATTCACTCATAATTAGTGTGTATCTTTTTTTACTTTGCATAATAGATATTTTCAAATTTTTTATATTCTTTATATTTATTAATGTTAATTGAATAATATTAGTTTGTTACATTAATATACCACAATTTAACTATCAAATATTGTTGGATATTTAGGTTGCTTTTAACTTTTTATAATCACATATAATTATGCTATTAAAAACTTTGAAGATATAGATCTTTTATTTTTAAAAATAATTTTATAGATTTTATACTACCCTAATTTCTCCTAGTATTTCTCTCCTTTCCCCCTCCCATTTAGCCATCCCCCATAACAAAGAATACTTTTAAAGGAAAAAAATGAAAAAAAAAGAAAAAAAATCAGCAAAATTAATCAATTCATTAAAAAAGTCTGAAAATATAAGCAATGTATCACTGTCATTGACCTCTCAACCCTTCAAAAGAGTTGTATGAAGGTGTCTTCTCAAACTTCTACTTTATAGTCAGGCTTGCTCTTTGT